CGACCGCTGGTGACCATAGCTAGCACTTTATCGTGCCTGTCAACCATTGACCGTCCAGCGAAATTGGCTGCGTAGGATAGCGCCACTAATGGCAGCAGAGCGTGTTGCGGGTTCTGGTAGTCCAGCACCGGGGTCTCGCTCGTTAACGTATGGTTATTATCACTTACTTCTCGTCCTTGAGCACGGACAGCACTGAAGCGGGTGGCGATGGTCGTGGCAGCTCCAAGAGCGAGCCCGAGCTTGAGGATCAAGTACGCGCGAATTTGTGTCATAGTGAGGTATACGAGCTTGGAACTCCGCGCGGTGTATATAATAGATTTCCACTCGCGTAAACACTCTGGCCAGCGCCATGTAGCATGTTTTCGTTCGCTGGAATTCTCACGTCTGTGGGAAACAGCGACGCTAACTCATAATCGCAGATGAATTAAAACTCACTTTGGACGATATTCACTCACTCCACACCAGGTAGCGGCTTGTGGTCTTTAGAGAGCGTAGAGGGACAATGAACGCTTGAGCACCGTGGTGCACACCGTCAATACGGAGCTGTGCGTGCACAACGGCATGCGTGGCAGTCTTTCCTAGCCCTCCAGGCCACCATTTGCGACTCGTTAAAGAGGGGGAGTTGATGACGAACTCTTGTTTTTCCTTATCGTAGACAGCTGTGGTCTCTAGACCTTGTACGTTGGAGCCGTGACCCAATTCTGTCTGTGCGTAGGCTCCAAGGATCCGATACGACGTGGCGAGAGGCAGCCAATGAGCTTGTTGCTCGTCGTCCGCTTGGTTCTCTAAAGTCGGGATGAACATGGAGCGGTGTACTTGGATCGGGAGCTTCTCGCCGATAACATCGTACATGATCTGCTGGGCGTCACTGTCCACTTTACCGCTCTGGATGAGCTTCACGTAGTGGTACGTCTTCTCGAGGGCAGTCTCGTATCGCTGCGTGTGATTTTGAAAGGCTGTGTCTCGCTTTGAGAGCACAAAATGTCGGGAGATCGCAGCTTCGGCGTCTTTCCGGTGAACGTTGGCAGCATGGCCACCACGGAGAGTGTTTGTCAGCAACTCGACATCCACATCACTCGACTCTCTTTCGCGCTGCAGCAGCAGAGGTGTCAGATCTTTCAGCTCCATGGACAAATGACGCTTTCAGATCAAATTAGATGATGGCAATTGAGCAGGGCGGCCCGTGTTTTGTTGAAGTGTTTACTTGTCAAAACTGACCTGACTTCAAGTTGAAGTGGGTTAGCAAAAATGTTTTTTGTAGTGTTTGCCCTGCAGTCTCTAATTAAAAAAAAGCTTTAGCGACTTGAAAAACGTGATTTCGCTATAAAAAAACTATTTCATTAGCCTGCCTAATTTTAGCAGTTTAAAAAACCAACCGATCTGTTTCTAAAAGTTCCATGTCGTGTAATAAATAATTGTTTGTCTAGTTTGTAAAGATCCAAAAGTCAATAATACTGACTTTACCAAATTTTTAAAAATACCCCCTTTTGTGTAAATATTATTTACACAAAAGGGGGTATTTTTTAACGGATCCGTGATTTTATGTGATACAACTCCGGGTAGCACGCTAAAACGGACACACAAAAAACTTGATTTATCGGATGCGAGAATGTGCAGAGTAACTGTTCGTTACAAAATGTAGTTTTGTGCGTTGTTGCGCTCTTGCCTTCTTCAAGCTCCTGTGATATTCTGGCCATGGCGCTACCAGATTCACAGGGCAAATAACTGCCACAAATCGCTAAAAGCCATCATTGTCTTGCTTTCAAGTGACAAAGTGGCATCCAAGCCATCTTCCTCAGGATACATCGGGTCAGCACTTTAGTGAACAACCCTAATTTAGAGCAAGGTCTAGTCAAGTTACAGCGTGGGGCGCGCTAAACGTCGCGGAAAAAATTAGCCTGCGCTGAATTTAGGTCGCCTGATCTCGAACGTCGTCTTCAAGAGCCGCCGAGGAGTGTTCTATTGTGAGAGCGGCGCTCAAAAAACGCAATTGCGCACTACGTCGACGTCGCGTACATCCCGCCAAAGTCTAACAAGTGTGAGCGCTTCATCTCTCTCGCTAAGCTGATGCTGTCTGATCTACGGAAGCGAATGTCTCCGAGACGTAATGTTTCTGAACTACAATCGTGACTTGTGGGACATGAGTGCGGTGGACAAGGTACGCTCGAGCATGGGCCGGAGTAATGCCAATAAATGAATTATAATTTTGCTCAGCTCACATCGATGTATTAATCTAAGTATTGCATTTTCGGGTTCCCTGCGAAGAGATCTGGCCCATAGAAGAAATCGGTACTGACGCTCACGGCGCTCTGGTCGGTCTGCGACGAGATGAATGCCATCGCATCACGAAGAAAATTGTTCTTTCCGAGATTGAAAGAAGGGGATCCGCGAAACCCCCGTGGGGCAACAACACGGCAGCGTGTCAACCAAATCGTCGGAAGCGAGCTCAGTCGCTTCATAAGTGGACAATCCGAAGCAGGTGGCGTTACCAACGTAGTTGGTTGGCAATAACGGCTGGAGGTGAGTACGTGCATTGACACACGTTGCGACGCGGATATCCCCTCCGTTGTCACGAGCTCGAGTGATCAATACGATCAAGAGTGCTGTAAGCGAGTCGATAGTGCTCACGCTCGAGCTCCGCCGGCAAGTTTCTTCAGTCGTCCAAGCTTGTCGGAGGTCAAGTGGAAAGTGCGTTGAGCTGTCGGTGCAGGGTCACTGACCGG